TTTGAGTCTTTTTTGTGTTGTTTTGTGTCACGTTGTAGTCATTTTGAAACTTTTTGTTGTTGCTTTGTGTCTTGTAGTTATTTTGAGTCTCTTTGTAGTTGTTGTGTGTGTCTTTGTGGTAGTTTTGTATCTCGTCGTATTCATTTTGAACCTCTTTGTATTTGCTTTGTGTCTCTTTCAGGTAATTGTTTGTCTCTTTGTGGTCATTTAGAGTCTCTTTGTGGTTGTTTTGCCCCTTTTCATAGTCACTGTAAGACTCTTTGGTCTCTTTGTGTCTTTTTGCAGCTGTTTTACATCTCTTTGGAGTTGTTTTGGTCTATTTTGTCTCTTTGCAGTATTTTTATGTTCCGTTGTGTTTATTTTGAGTCTCCATCTAGTTGGTGTGCGCCTCTTTGAGTGATATTTTCTAGGGGAAGACTAGGGGGGCCTCTGACTTTTTGGGCCCCATGGCCTGTTGGCGAGCTCAATTCTCCAGCCATGATTTTGCGGAACAGTATAAAGCTACCTACTGCAGCCTCTTAGCTTAGCATAAAGACTGGAAATTGGGTGAATCAGCTAGCCTTGCTCTGTCCAAAGGTAACCAGCGGAGGAAGTTACTCGTCCCAGACAAGAAATAGACTGTTTTGGTAATAGCATACTAACATACTTTTCATTTGAGGTAAAATGAAGTATGTTGTGCGTTCCGACTGCATAATATATGGATTTTGTGTACGTGAAACGTAAACTATAAATGAATGAATATTGTCTTAGGTATTTTTTTTCATATAACATCACACAATGATGATTGCTGTGCAATATGTATGTTAAGGTTGTCAAATGGCAAGTCTCTATTTGATCATGTGATGATACGATACCATAGTTTGTGTGTGTGTGTGTGTGTGTGTGTGTGTGTGTGTGTGTGTCATAACGAGTAACTACCACAGGCCTACTCTGGGGCCCGTCGTGACTACTTTACGTCACTGTTTTGCCTACAGACATGAAAGTGATATTACTTTTTTTCACCTAACGTTCGCCAAGAAAGCAAATAAGTGTATTTCCTAAAATGTCAATCGATTTCTTTAACTTTCTTTTTTGTCTTGATCATATTTAGATGCTGTGTATCTCGCCTGTTGTGGGCGCTGTTGAATTGGATACTTCCAAGAAAGGGCTGTGTCATCAAGGGCTGACCACGTCCATATTTGACCAGAATTAATAAGAATTAAAATTAAAGTAGACTTTTCTCTTGAAACGGTGCAGTTGTTGGCGTCTTTGTGCAAACCTCTTATGAACAGGTGCATCTCTAAAGGACCCTGAATGATAATAATAATGTAGTGGACAGTAACAGTGTGTAGGGCCTTTATCAAAACTGATAATTGGGTTAAATAAACTGGTTTTCTATACAAATACAGGGCAGAAAAATCCATGTAATACACTTTATTAAATATGAAGTCTTATTTTCTGGCTTCGAGATAAAATTGTCCATACTTACAAATAATTGAACTGTGCAAAACAGTAATACATCTTGTTTTTCAACCCACCTCGGCAGAAACACCGACTGGGATTCTGGGAAGCGGCTCCCCGGGGGTGTGAAGAGGGCATGGCCGCCGAAGTTGGGGTAGTCGTACGGATAATGTGGACACTCTGGGTCGAACTCCCGGTGGTTGTAGTTGGCGGCACTTTTGCTGTTCATTGCCCAGAACAGCCCCAGGATGAGCATGACCACCCCGAGCACCACGCAGCAGAGGGAGAACGCCTGCAGGCGGCTCTGGGACGAGGCCAGGAAGGCTGTGGAGCCCCCGGTCACGATGAGGAAGGCTCCGATGAAGATTGTTCCGTGGTGCAGGGAAGGCATCCTCCTGCAGGACATCGACTGTTTTCCTGAGGTTAACTTTCAAGGCTGTGACCGGCTGGATGGTGATGCTGACACTGACCATCAACAAAAATATTTACTCCACAGTTACAGAAGTCCTGAGGTAAAAAAAGAAATATAATCTCCTTAAATCTTACTTATTTGTTCCCATAATTTCCATCTCCCAGACAACAGCTGATCATAAAGTGTTAATCCTCACTCTGTAGATCTCCAGCTCGTGGGTAAAAGTGTTAAAATTAGTAGTTTTGTCGGTGAAAAAAATAAAAAAGAAAGCGGTGAAGGCTTTGATGTGCATCAGGACTGGCTGTGTTTATCATCAGGGCAGATGGACAAGAGGACGGCAGAGCCCATTAAGAAATCTTTACTGGCGCCCCACCCTCCCTCTGTCTAATGTGTCTGAGGGGTGTGTGCGTGTGTGTGTGTGTGTGTGTGTGTGTGTGTGTGTGTGTTTGTGCGTGTGTGTGTGTGTTAGACAGAAATTCTCTAAACATAAATGGATATATTGGACAAGAGATAGAGTGGAATTTAGGCCTACATTCTTGCTGTTGTTGCCTCGTTGTGTCAGGTTACAACATTCAAATAGAAAAAGAGTTGAATGTTTGGCAGTTGAGTTTATTTGCAAGCCAATGACAGAACATCTGCTTTGATATGACTGATTGAGACGTTCAAAGTTTTAACCAACAGCAGTGTATCTAATATTGCAATTAATATTAATTTGACACAGTAGACAAAACTAAATAAATAAATCACAGCAAGTATTTCGACAGAGTAGGCCTAGTGCTATTTTAGTTCCAGAGGAGGAATCGGTAAGTGTGCAGTTATATGTTACGGATACACACAGAGACAGTTGAGAGACACCTGAGTCTAAAGGTTAATTGTTGTGTTTTCCAGTATCTTTGATTAATAACTGAATCTGGGATTTTACATCTATCTGCAAAGCGGATCAATATATAAAGAGGCTCAGTTGTTTGTCTTAGCCGTCACAAGCTGGTACAGTTGAATATAATTCACATAACCTATTTAACAGCAGAGAGGCTCCACAGTGTGGTGTTGGATGGGTGTAAAACAGAGACAGCAACCGTCATTTATATTCTTTTGGATTTGTGTGAGACTCAACCACTGCTGGGGATTCATTAGAGACACAACCAAGAAGATAAAAAGGGTCGGTATCGGGACAGGAGATCAGTGTTTTCTGCTGGATACAAGCCACAAAGTTTGATTTATTAAAATGGTCACAAGAGCTGGAATTAAATGTAGTGCTGTGATGACAAGCCATCTTCATCTTCCATGTATAGCTCAAGGAAATATTCACATACCCTTTTTGAGGAACATTGACTTTACGTAATATTTGGCAAATACTGCAAATTCTTCAGCATTATATCACCACTGGTGCAACAGCTGAGATTGGGCGTACTTGTGTATTGAGGGAGATATTAGACGTTTTTTTCTTCTTTTGAAAATGGTAGTGAGGATGGATGAACCCAGGAGGGCCTCCATGGGGGGGGGGGGACAGATTGTTTTTTTTACTTTGTGGAAAACAGCATCTATGCAATATGTACAAGTTCCTATTGTTGACCAAACGGGCCGATGAACGACCTACAGAATGTATTAAAGACACTGTTGGATGTTTCAACGTGTCTTTGAAGGCAATGAATCAGGACTATAGCTACAGTAAGAGGTCATGTCCTGTTTAATGAAGTTAAATCTGAAGAGAGTTTAAATCCTACAATTAAAAGAAAACAGTGACATTTTATAAGTAAATTCCTTCTTTTTTTAAATTCAATACCCGATAACAATTTGAATGTGTCAGTGCTGGTGATGGTTGTGACCGGAGACATTATAAAAAGTTTACGATTTGACCAAATAAAACTAAAAAGGAAAATTATTTAGCAATAAATGTAATAAGCAAATGAATAAAACCAAAATAAACATGGCTGAGAGTCCACAGCCGAGCTCTTTTGCCCATGCTAGTGGCTCCTGTTTAAACGGCTTCACAAATCGCCTTTCTGTTCATAAAAACAATCCAGATTTAGATCTGATGATTGTGATGAACGAACATTCAGAGGATCATCAAAATGATTCACCCAGAGGGAAACATTCACGTTTGAACCAAAGTTCACGGCAAATCCATCCAATAGATTTTGGGATATTTCAGTGATGGTCAACAGTGACGGCCAGACGGACATATTGCCATCCATAGAGCCACACTGCTGGTATAACAGCTACAAATAATATAATACACAGTGTAATGGAACAGTTAACTAAATTAATAAAATGAACGATATAAAAGTATTTTAAAAATAAAGTCACTTTATTTTAGTTTTTGGGTGGATGGGGGCAAAGCACAGCTATTTCTTTGCACTATTTTTATTTTTATACTTTACAACTAGAACAGTTGACGTGTCGTTTCATTAAAATTTTATTTTTTATTGTTGGTCATTGGTGTTTTTTTAATATATACTTTTATGCCTATAATATTTATATATAGGCTAGACATATACACCTATTTTTCTCATACTTTTTATATATTTCATGCAATACTTATATACAGTATACAACTATTTTTTCACATACCTGTGCCTACATAACAGTCCCGTCTATTCTTTACCGTTATTTGTCCGGCTTTGTTGTCCTTGCTCTTTGCTGTTATGTCTATTTATGTGTATGTAGATTGGGAACAATGCAAAAAAAATCCTTGTTTGTGCATACATACTAATACCAAATAAAGTTGGTTGTGATTCTGAACTCATGACCTCAGTACAGTATTTCGAAAACTCTGGTCCTGATATATACTAAATTTAGAGCTGATATAATATATTAAATGTATATGAATGATCCTAATACTATGTATGGTAGTAGGGAATAATGATGGTGTTTAATCAGGTATATATATGTCTGTATTCACACACTGAATAGAGGGAACTCAGGTTGGCTGATATGGTCATAGTGTTGTAACAGAGCCATGAGGGACAGCGTGCATGGTGTGACAGCCTCTCTGCTTCCTGATTGGTTAAACATCAGAGGGACTACCGCTCTAGAATTCCCAACAGTCACCTGTTTGACCAATGAGCGTGAAGCGTGTGAGGCTCGGTCCCGCCTTGTTAGCAGCTTCAACCAATCAGCGCAGAGCAGAGGAGAAAGGCCAACCGGCCACCGAGAAAACATTCACCTATCGCGGTGAAGAGGTGATCAGGAGTCTCCGGGTTTTTGGGGGGGTTGAGATAATCGATATCCCGGTAGTTTAACTTAAAACAGTCTGTCCGATACTTTTAGTTTGGAGACCGAACACAAACCATGGAGCCGCTGTTGTGTTTAGCCGGCGTGGTCGTCGCGTTCCTGCTGTGGATCAAAGTCAAAGGTGTAGATTACGTGATCGTGCACCAGAGGTGGATATTCGTGTGTCTGTTCCTGCTGCCGCTCTCTGTGGTGTTCGATGTGTATTACTATGTGCGCGCGTGGCTCATTTTCAAGATGTGCAGTGCGCCCAAGCTGCACGACCAGCGCGTGCGAGACATCCAGCGACAGGTGAGCCACAACAACCACCATCATCATCATCATCATCATCATCTGTGTGACAGTGACTCTCACAGGTGTGTGTGTGTGACAGTGAATCTCACAGGTGTGTGCGTGTGCGTGTGGGGCCTACATGATACTTATACGATGTATAGAATGAGGACTTACCTGTTTTGCAAGGAATCCTGGGTAGTAAAAAACTCACAGTGACCACCTGTGTTTCGAATGGGACCAGAGTGATGTTTGTGTGAAATACATGGAGTCAAAGCAACTTTATTAGCAGTGCATTGTGATGTGAGAGTGCGCTGCTTTATCTCTCTTATGTTATAAATTAATAAAGTGTTTCATATCTACTCACTTATTAACCTGCTTGTGATGCAACTGGAGGACGTTTCACTTTGCCTGCACACAGTATATAACGTTTTGAACCAGCTTGTGATTGATTATCAAAACTTACATTTTCTTTAAATTCACCACCAATAAAGAGCCCCAAAGTTGTGACAATAAAGAGTTAGAGCCATGTCTGTCATAGCATTATTACATTGTATGTGGTAATTAAAATGTATGTTTTATGTGTAACTTTCAATGAGAGGGCTGATTAAAAGCACATCCATTTATTTTGGATTTGGATCAGTTGGGCCTGCAAGTTCATGATCGTTGTAATTCACCTACCGAGGTAGAGGCAGACGTGGTCGTATTTAATTGTTTAAAAGGGGCTTAAAAAAAGTGATCCATGAACTGAATTAGTTCAGAAACGGGGCAAATATCATGAGCTTATATAGCACTTTAAAGTGCTAAAGTCTCTGTGCTGTCGTACAGTTAAGATCTATGTGGAGGTTGTGTGAATGTAGGCAATCTGTTCACATTCTGACAGAATGCTGACTATGTAAAGAGGGAGAGAGCCCTGGGAGCAGACGAGACAGACACCTAATACCTTCATTCCTAGAAGGATTTGGTCAGGAGAGAAGAATCTGATGTGAAGTAGATGTAAATCAAACTGATCCACAGCCCCAAGAGAGCGTTAGTCAATCATGTGTACAGGAATAATGACAGACTCATATGGGCTCTCCACAGTTGGGTGAATGAATTGTGAAGATCAGCGTTCACAAAATACACTTTGAGGAGTTTAAATGAGCTGCCAAGGCCTTTGAAGAAGGTCCTCAGTGACTTACGGGTCACTCAAAAGACGATAATGTGTTCTTGTCTTTATCCCACATTTCAGGTGAGCGAGTGGAGGAAGGAGGGCAGTAAGACCCACATGTGTACGGGTCGACCCGGCTGGCTCACCGTGTCTCTCAGAGTGGGGAAGTACAAGAAAACCCACAAGAACATCATGATCAACATGATGGACATTCTGGAGGTGGACACAAAGAGGCAGGTAGGAGGAGTCAGTCAATCCCATCAGCCTCGGCTCTAGTGCTCATTAGCTTACTTTAGTATGCTAGCACACAAAACTAAGCTGGTGGACAAAGTAAACAGTACACCCTCTAAACATCTGCATGTTAGCATTCTCATTGCGAGCATATTAGCATGCTAACACGCTAAATTAAGATGGCGAACATAGTAAAGATTACACCTGCTAAAGATCGTCATCTTAGCATTGTCTCTGCGAGCGTATTAGCATGCTAGCACACTACACTAAGATGGTAAACATTACATCCTCTAAACATCTGCATGTTAGCATTGTCATTGTGAGCATATTAGCATCCTAGCACACTACACTAAGATGGTAAACATTACATCCTCTGAACATCTGCATGTTAGCATTGTCATTGTGAGCATATTAGCATCCTAGCACACTACACTAAGATGGTAAACATTACATCCTTTAAACATCTGCATGTTAGCATTGTCATTCTGAGCATGTTAGCATGCTAACACACTACACTAAGATGGTGAACATAGTAAACATTACACCCTCTAAACATCTGCACGTTAGCATTGTCATTGTGAGCGTGTTAGCATACAACCCGGTACGAAACACACAGGCATCGTAGCTTTAGCTTTAGCGGGAGATGTCACTTGCGCGACTTTCGGGTGTGTCGTCTTTCTGTTAACATAATTTCACAGGGGCGGAACTCCACCTCTCAATTGACTCCAATGGGAAGTTGAACACAGATTATGACCAATACATTCGCTCCATAGTTGCCAAAGTAAATATTGGATCCATTTTTCAGAAGCCACATATCTTCAGAACATTCTGACACTGAAATGACGTTTTTCAAACACACAAATCACGTCTTGTAATGCTAAAAATGGCTGACAAGCCAACAGACAGACTTTTAGAACCCCTTCATTTGAAGGACACTGCTTGATACTTTTACCGTTTCACTAGTCTTTTCTACTAAATGTATTTGGCTAACCTACGGGGTCTGTTTCAACCTGTGCGCTCATCCAGCTGCCTCTGTTTCTAGCCACCTTGAACTTCTGTTAATCAGCAGGGACGTCGTGTTCCCACATGTCGGCATTTAATCTGCTGTTATTCTTGACCAATAGCAATGATGGCACTAAGACAGAAATCAGTAATGTTAAAATGTATCTGGCTGTATTTTGTATCGTCAGCCTGATTGCAAATCCTTGTTTTTTTTTTTTTAGGTGGTGAGAGTGGAGCCGCTGGCCAACATGGGTCAGGTGACCGCTCTCCTCACCTCTATTGGCTGGACACTGCCGGTGCTGCCCGAGCTGGATGACCTCACTGTGGGTAAGTCGCCCTGCAACAGTGCATTATTTCATGTGTGACCATCACAGAGTGGCATCATCTGTGGCTCTCTGGCTTCTAGAAATAGAGACGTGCTGATGATCTCCACGGCTCATTGTTCTGTGAGGCATCTCCTCCATCAATCCCTGCATCCTGTTTAGAGCACCAGCGACTTCTCTAATTGAGTTAGAGGATTGATGTTGTAGCTCAGGAGATGAAACCGGGAGGAAATGGCTGCAGCAGTGGAAGCACCCCTGGATCGGGTTTCATAATGGATTCCCTGATGCCATAAACTGCGCATCAGCAATCCTAATGTTTTTCCATCAGGCAGCGGTGCATTCATTTATCCTGATGTCCAAGCAGGCACACACACACACACATACTCAACAACCAGCAGGCAAACGCTGCTTTGTGTGTGTGTGTGTGTGTGTGTGTTTGTTTGCCCACCTGGAAAGATATTGAATTTATCCTCTCCCCTCTCTCAGGTGGTTTGGTGATGGGTACAGGCATTGAGTCATCCTCTCACATTTACGGGCTGTTTCAGCACATCTGCGTCGCATTTGAACTGGTTCTAGCTGACGGCAGCTTGGTGCGCTGCACTGAGGTGAGTATTGAGTGTGTGACGTGTGTGTGACGTGTGACATGTGTGTGTGTGTGTTCAGGAGCCCTGTGGCATGAAGTAGTGGGTTACTGAGCATGCCGTCTTCAGAAGGACTTCCGGTATTACAAAGTTCAGTGGCCCTCCTCCCTACTTTCTCAACTCAACCCTGATTTCAAGCTCAAAATGTTAATGAGGCAATACATTTACAAAGCTCAAATCACTATTAAATTGGCAAAATCAATGAAAAATAAACGTAACAAATGGTGCTTCCTGTTTACGGAACCATTCCAGCTGTTTTCTATTTTTGAACCAAGAGCTACTAAATGTCATTACCACTGTCACTGAATGAGTGAGCAGGCTTCCGCTCTGTTCGATTTTATCTTCACCTGTAAGAAGCAAAGTCTGGGTCGCTCTAAACACGTGTCCATCTATATGATACTTTAAGTTATGTTGTAACGCATAATAAAGTGAAGCGGGTGAAGGCTCTGGAGAGAGATAATGTTAGATAGATGGATGGATAGATAGATAGATAGATGGATAGATACTTTATTCATCCCGCAAGGGAAAATTAGTTTGTTAGAGCCTTAAAAGGGAAAATAATCCACATCTACTGTTTCTCAGAGCTGACATGCAATGTGAGGTTTGCTATAATGGTTTAGTTGTCAAAGCCAACATGGTGCCGAACGTTAGAAACCCAGAAGGCCGAGACCACATTCATATACGTTTCATAGAGGAGTGTACAGTCTTGTTCTTGTTCAAATACACAATATCATGTTTTCTGTCTCTTAGGAGGAGAACTCGGACCTGTTCCACGCCGTCCCGTGGTCCTGTGGAACCCTGGGGTTCCTGGTTGCAGCTGAGATTAAAATCGTCCCCGCTAAAGCCTGGGTGAAGCTGCGCTACGAGCCGGTCAGAGGGCTGGAGAACATCTGCGAGCGCTTCACCGAAGCGTCGGAGAACAAGCAGAACACGTTCGTAGAGGGACTCCAGTACGCTCGGGACGCCGCCGTCATCATGACGGGAACAATGACGGACCACGCCGAGCCGGATAAGGTAAGGTTTGACTTGTTTTATCACATTGGAGTAAAATACAACAGAATAAATCTTTATTGACCACTAGGCTGTAAATGTGTCTTCGACTCACCAAACACAAGACACAAAAACACGGGAAATAGGCTGAAAAATGACCAACGTTCCGCGTTAACCTCCCCTCGTCCTCTCTGACGACAGATCAATAGAATCGGCCTTCACTTCAAGCCCTGGTTCTTCAAACACGTGGAGGGATACCTGAGAGACGACCAGGCTGGAGTTGAATACATCCCTCTGAGACACTACTATCACAGACACACACGTAGCATCTTCTGGGAGATTCAGGTACTCACAAAACCACACACACACACACACGGAGGCTGTGCTTTACCCCTACATTAAGGTACTGCACATTTCTGCCAGATATTAGCTCGTCATCAACTTCTTGCTCACTTCTCTCTATTACACTCTAATGCTCTTTCTCTGTCACACACACACATTTCGTACTCACACACACACACGCACACACCATTAGCCATTAGTGAGAAGGGCTTGGCATCCATTGTTTTCTGTAACAGTAAGTGGTGTGATGAATTATGCATAGTATTGGTTTGGCAGATACCTACAGGAGCCATCTCTGGGTCTCTGGGTGCTCTCTGAGTTTTGTTCTGTAGACGGTGCAGAGATGAAAGGCGGACCGGTGCTTTGGTTACATTCACACTTTGTGATTGTTGTGGTGTTGGACAAGGAGACGTGAGAGTGTTTGATGCTGTTTGGAAGGTTGAGGCTGCCCCCTGCTGGAGAGGATTGTGTCAGCGTCTCATCTACACGACACATTCTGTCCTCATGCAGAAATGCAACATTATATGAAGAAAACCAATTTATGATTCATGTTATTAACACTAACACTTATTACAATCTCATTTCTGTCTGTATTAGACGACCGTGATGTGATTTACAGACGCACAACTTCATCCTGATTTAAAACATCTGGATTCTTCTCATCACGCTGCACGTTCTGTAACAAATGCGGCCTCACACGCTCACTGATGCTTCATGTGAATCTTTAGGATGGTCTGCTCTGCATCAGAGAATGCACATGTGGCTGTTATTATTATTATTATTATTATGATTATTATTATTAAGACATTGTTGGGTAAACTACCTACTTACACCACCAGCCTGTTATCCTTTCATAGCAGCAGCTGAGCATTAGATGTACAAATTCTTTTAAATGTCCTCAGGGCACGCTCGCAGCTTCAAACTGCGTCCTCCTTTATGCACTGGTTATGGGATGTCCTGTGAAATGTGAAACTGCTCATGCTGCCGTGTTGACCAGGAACCTTCCTGGCTTCATGAAGGATAAATCAAATACAAATATGAAGGCAAAGAAAGGCCATAATGATTTTAATTTGATCAGCAACTGAATATCCAATTGTTACATTCATTCATGATTGAATATTTAAAGCTGGAATTTAAATATCACAGTTTATTGTATTGAAATATTTCACTCAGATTTCCCGCTTTTGAGTTTCCAGAAGGTCGTTTCAGGTTGTGCAATTTAAAATATTTTTATTTGTGTTCCCAAATTGAGATTCATGAAAATCTTATTTAAGTTCTTTAAATTAATTTAGTCGAATTCTGATTTAAAAATTCAAGCCAAGTAAAATACATTTTGGTGAAATTCAAACACTCGCATGATCAATCGAGTCTGAACTCTTTGTTTTATCAGTTCATATTCTGTCATTTGATCCAAAATCATAGTAATCAGCACAATTTAAGTTTTCTATTTTATTTAGATTTTCATTGACATTATTTACTGTTGTTATGACATTGCATCACTTGAAACCATCTCTTGGAAATGTTAAAGAGGAGAATTCCAACCACATGCATTCAGATGTTAGATGTGTTTCAAAGTAAAAATATTTGTATTATATTAAAATTGTATTTAATATAGTTGTATGTAAATATATGTAATATAATTTCATGTATTTAAATGTTAACATCAAGTTGTGATTCATATTCATAGTTTGTTATTTAATTGCTTCCACACACATTTATCTCAACAGATCTGCAGATGATGATAATTGTCGACATCATTTAAACTTAAAAAGATGAAGAATAAAAAAGTTAAATTAAAAAACAGTCCATCACAGATTTCCAGAAGCCAACATGACGTCTTCTGATGTCTGACTCGCAACCCAAAACGCAACAATATTTAATTTTCAGTTGTAAGACAGCAGATTTGAGAAATAACAAACGATGACTTATTACAATTGTTTCTGCTGATAGATTGGTTGTTACAGCACAATGCATCATGGAACGCCTCGTTACCATCGTCTTTTAACCCCGTTTGTGAACGTGTGTGTGTGTGTGTGTGTGTGTGTGTGTGTGTGTGTGTGTGCGTGTGCGCGTGTGTGTGTGTGTCCTTTCTCCAGGATATTATTCCCTTCGGCAACAACCCAATATTTCGCTGGGTTTTTGGATGGATGGTTCCTCCTAAGATCTCCCTGTTGAAGCTCACGCAGGGAGAGACCATCAGACGACTGTACGAGCAGCACCACGTGGTCCAGGACATGCTGGTTCCCATGAAGAACCTGCAGGCTGCCATCACGCGCTTCCACCAGGACATCGACGTGAGACTCGGATCTGAATGCAGCCGTTTAATGTACGCCGTCTGCGGTCCTGTTTGAACTCCTGTGCGTCGTGTGTGGTTCCAGGTCTACCCTCTGTGGCTGTGTCCCTTCCTGTTGCCCCCCGGCAGAGGGATGGTCCACCCCAAAGGTGCGGAGGAGGAGCTGTACGTGGATATTGGAGCTTATGGAGAGCCCAAAGTCAAACACTTTGAAGCTAAAGCATCAACGCGTCAGCTGGAGAAGTTTGTGAGAGACCTGCACGGGTAAGTCGCAAATAATACGTGAAATTAAACATTTATTAGGTGATATCTGTGTAATTGTTCATTTTTAACAGTGGACCTGTGGTTCGTTTTGTTCCTAAATTATGTATATACAAAATATCTAACTGAGATTATTTTGACTGATATTGCGATTTCATTTGCAATATTAGAGGAATAGTCATTTTTACATAATAATTTTTCTTTCTATTGAGAAACATTAAAATGATGATGGTGGGATTTTTCTGGTGTGATGTTTCATTATGTCTGTAAAAATATGAATGTATCTCTGCAGCGCCACAATAGTTCATTTAAAATGGTACTTTGACACAAATATTGTGCTTCCTGAGATTTGGAAATTGTGGTCAACCATAATGCAGTTTTGGTAAAATTTAGACTTTAGACATTTAGACATGATTCTGTATTTTTTTAAGAACAGCTTTTTTTATGAAATCAAAATATTTTTTTACTTTTGGACTTTACAGCGCTGTGGAGTTGCATTGTTCCGGACCTTTGCATGAGGAAATTCTCTCTAACTGGACCTCGTTAAATACCTCTGCACCAAAGCATACTAAACATAATGACATCAACGTTCTTGTACTTAGGTTCCAGATGCTGTATGCAGATGTGTACATGGACCGAGAGGAGTTCTGGGAGATGTTTGACGGACAGCTGTATCACAGGCTGAGAGAGGAGCTCGGCTGTAAGGACGCCTTCCCGGAGGTTTACGACAAAATCTGTAAATCCGCCCGACACTGACCCCGACCGCTGGTACCCCGACCCCGGCCCTGTGTCACCGAGGGAATGTGTCGGCAGCATGGGATGTTTCAACTAAGACAAACTGTTTTACTCAAAGACACTACACTAAAGGGTTATTTTTGGCTTCAAGCCGTGTCTTCAGAGTAGGGCTGCACGATTATGGCCAAAATCATAATCATGATTATTTTTGATCAATATTGAGATCACGATTATTTATCACAATTATTCATTCATTTTAGGGACACATTTTATTGCACTTTCACGTTTAACAGAACACTGCTTCCACTTCCATTGTTGTGCTACATTCTGGCTAATGTACAAATCTTTGCATCAGACTGGTCCTTATCACAGTGCATCTATAAATATAAATAAAATAGTAAAATATAAAATAGTAAATATAATAGAAAATATAAATAAAATAGTATCAACACTTTTTACCCAAAATTAAATCAACAGAGCACTGCTTTCACTTCCATGTTGTGCTACATTCCAGCTAATGTACACGTCTTTGCATCAAAATAAAACTTATACGGTTCTTATTCACCTGAAGCAAAATATAAATGACCGTCTGCTCTCTGTTCTTTACTCGTCTACTAACACCGGAGTCGACTGCAGACACAACTTTTTTTGAGGCTGCCGCTGCAGGGTGCGCGCATGACACCTCCCATCTCGTTTGCCCCCTGGTGGTCGGCTGACTGTTAGTTGAGGAAGCGCTTGATCTGATGTGTAGCAGAGCACGCATTCTAAACGTCAATATCGCTGACGATCATGCTCATTTAATTGTGGCAGCCAAAATCGTGATCGCGATTAAAATTAGATTAATTGTGCAGCCCTACTTCAGAGGCCCTTCTATCAATGTGAAGCAGGAGCACAAGTATTGTATGTCACGAATGTATTTAGTCTTCTTCTCCAGAGCTCATCTCAACATCCATGTTCTGATTCCATGTGCTGCTTGAGTCTTTGTGTTCGTTGTCCTTGAGTTTAAGCATGTTGGACCGAATGTTTTCTGTTTTTCTCCTTTTTAAAGTGTATTTTCTGCCGTGTTTAACGACCTAATAATTACCTACAAGTGCCACAGACTTTATAAACATGACTTCCTCATTACAGTCGTGCACATATTTTTAAATACACTTTTGTAGTAAACATTTGATAAAGAGAAACCAACCAAATTATATTGTAACTCGTTAAATAATTAATTAAAAGCTCTTTCATGCTCATGTTTTATTAAATACCGATTCTGAAGTTGAACTGTAATAATTGTTCTCAAACGTCGTCACAACTCATGAATTTGCTTTGAGCCCATTTGTTTTGACTATTTGAAGAACAGCACAGTGCGACGCTGATCCTCTGTCCTTCTGTTTCCTCTCACTTCTCTCTACATGCGCTGCCGTTTAGTCGAATAAACTCATATGCTCATCAATACTTGTTTCACCTCCTTTGAATAACTGGACAGTTTCACTTTTTGGGGGGTTTGTTTGTTGTCCGTGTGTGATCTGAAAGACATCAAACCAGTGACTAAGTCTTTACTTGTTAACTTTTACCATTGACTTCTATTCTAATTGAATTACAGATATATTTAATTTGATTTGTATGTGTTATAATTCCAAGTCAATATATCCATTATGTAGTTTTGACTAGTTGCAATTCTGATTAATGACAACTCAATTCTCGCTAGTCAAAATGTTGATTATTGATATCTACAACTCAATTTTCACCAATGGCCATGTTCATTGTAGATATCTACAAGTGGTCTTAAACTACAGGCATGATACATATAAAATCATAAAAAGTCATAGTATAGCATGTCGAAAAAAAATCATAAGAAAGTCATAGTATAGCATGTCGAAAAAAAAATCATAAGAAAGTCATAGTATAGCATGTCGGAAACAAAATCATAAAAAGTCATAGTATAGCATGTCGAAAAAAAAATCATAAGTCATAGTATAGCATGTCGAAAAAAAAATCATAAGAAAGTCATAGTATAGCATGTCGAAAAAAAAATCATAAGAAAGTCATAGTATAGCATGTCGAAAAAAAAATCATAAAAAGTCATAGTATAGCATGTCGGAAAAAGTCCAAACAAATCAATACATTAAAACATCATAGTAGTAAAAACGTCATAGCATTGTAAGTCATAACACATTGTTTGTATAATGAGTCATAAAAAGTCACAATTCAGTATGGCATGAAAAAGCAACAGTAAAGTGTCTCACAAAAAGTCCAGGTGTGGTAAGTCATGGACCAGTCCGCGTATTGTTTGGTATAAGTCTGTTAAGTGAACAATAGCTCCTCCTCCTCCCATTGAACATCTTCCTCTGCTTCTCTCTGACTTCCGAATAGTGACGAGTGAACCGCTTCTTTTTGTTAACGGCTCAGTGGGCGCGCTGAACCAGAGTTCTGGGTTAGCGGCTCTCGGTTCTTTATCGCACAGCTGAGCACGATCCAGATGTTAGATTTTTATTTTTTTATTCTCTCCCGTTTTTGAATAGAGTTGTTCTCTGTCGCTCTCTCTCAGAGTCGTTCAAAAACAACGATTCCTTCGCGACTCAACACTCACCACTCGCAAAGTGAGTTAGCAGAGCAGCTAATTCACTGTCAAGCCGGTGAGATTACTGTCAGAAGACATCTGCAGCGAGCTGTCTGGAGTTATTAACACAGGTAAACTCTGAACTATTAAAGTTATTGTGTTTAAAATATACATTTTAACGGTTGCTGACTTTAAGGACCGTGACCTGAAACTACAGTAACAGTTCTCTAAGTGAAGCTAACTGACGCTAAATTCACTTTATCTAACGCTAGCAGCTAGCTAGCTAGTCAGTGTAGTTTTATAGCTTCTGCTAACTAACGTTAACGGGTATCAACTGCTGGCGTTCGCTTCGGGAAACACTTTGTGAAGGTGACTTTGAAGACTCCTCGTCTGTCATTAGCTGCTCTCAGTTTCTCAAGGTGTTTAATAATTCAGCAATGTTTGTTTATCTTATTTTAAATCTGCAAACTTTGAGATTTAGCTACTTTTAATTAGCCGTGTTACCAGTGAGTATTAAAGAGATGAGATGCGCACGTCTGCGTAATTATGCGCAAGTTCGTGCAGGGTACACTGTGTCCTGCATTGTACTTATTGTACCCGTGCATTGTATTTATTGTACCCGTGCATTGTAGTTATTTTACCTGTGCATTGTAGTGATTTTTACCTGTGCATTGTACTTATTGTACCTGTGCATTGTACTTATTGTACCCGTGCATTGTACTTATTGTACCTGTGCATTGTACTTATTTGGGGAAATTAGACAACAAGAGGTGTTCCTGTAGTTCTTATCTAAATGTGTGGATGAGTACACTCAGTTTCAGTCTGCATACCAGCACGTGACTGGGGTTAAATCACTCTAGCAGTCACATTCATACCCAGTTTGTTTACTTTAAAGTTGCATGTTGTCACTTCCCTACTTTACCATATTGATTTATGTTTTGCAGAGAGCTTCTGGAGTGGAGCATCAGGTGTCCTCCATTACTGGCCCAAGACAGTGCTGGTTTTTGGAGACTCCAGTGGAGTCCAGACTGGAGAAGAGAGAGAGAGAGAGAGAAGCTGAGGAGACAACATGCCCACTGACGGGGAGCCCACGGTCGCAGTGAAGCTGCTGCAGCTGCTGTTGCTCTCCACCTACTGGGGCATGCAGATTTGGGTCACCTTCATTTCAAGTGGGTACACACACACACACACACACACACACACACAAAGCTAGAAACACAAGGTAGACAGTCTGTGTAAAGCTTTTGGATCAGGATATTTCAGGCCCTTAATAGTAGCCCCCCTGTGTTCGTTAGCACCAATGAGTTGTTGTGTTTTTCTGCTCAGGCTTTGTGATGGACAACCACCTGAACAGACACACCTTTGGGTTCATCCAGAGTCGCCTTGTCCCGTTTTACCTCCACCTGGGTTCAGCCTGTGCCTTCTTCAACCTCACCATCTACGCTGTGTATCACCCCAGCGACATGCTGGACGACAGAGAAGCCTTTCAGGTGAGTCCTTCTGTCCCTTATTTGTGTAAAACAACATATATTATTCCTGTTAATCTCACGACTCTCCTTTCTACTCCACCAGATCTTCATCTTCTTCGTGTCGGTGACGGTCGCGGCCGTCAACGCCCAGTGGTTCGGCCAGATGACGTCAGAGATCATGGCGGACATGCACCTGATCGAGCAGGCGTGCGGTCTGGGTCAGGACATCGGGCTGTCGTCGAACCGCGAGGCTTACGCCAAGCTGTGCGAGATGGACGTCAAATACCGACACCTGAGCAGCCGCCTGTGGCTGTACAGGCTGCTGTCCTCCCTCTGCAACCTCTGCTGCATAGGCTGCAACTTCTACAGCCTCTGCTACATCGCGGAGAACCTCGGCACGCTTTAAACCGACACATAGCTGCTGGACTGAAAACAAAATAGTCACTTGCACATCACTCTTTTTTAAAACCAAAGCAGTAAGTTATATATTTAATACTTTCTCACTCTTAGTTATAAGATAAAAAGTCAAGTAAGCCTTGTTGTGCCTTGGGGGTTAATGAAAGGATTCAGCCGCCATGTTTTGTTGGCGGTTTTGAGACAATCGGTGTCATTAAAGCTGCATTTCTCTTAAAGGTTGTCGGGAGGCAAATCAGTACATGCAATGACTAACGGCTCACCTTTCACCTACTGTGGCTGAGGTGGCGGTTTGACATTTCACCCACTGCCTGTACGGCAGGGTGCCTTTCAGGAACCTAAACATGAGGGATGTTTATTAATAATAACTACATGCAGTACGGGAGTCACCACAGCAATAAATAGCAGAAATGTGCTTCATATTTTTTTAAACGTAAGCTCAAAAGGAAAGCATGTTTTATTGAGGGCGCTGCTCAGTCCGGCTCTTCCTGTTTGGGTGCAGTTTGAATACTTTTTTCAGTTACAGGTTTGTCCGGCTCACCTGAGGAGCACCTGTGAAGGGAACGCTTGTTCATTATCGTCTATCTTTAGTCCTCCTGGCTGCTGGTGTGAAACAGAACACTTCAAACACTTTTAACTGTACACAAAGAATTGTGAAGACTTGCTGAGATGCTGTGGGTCCGTTTCGACTAAACGTCTGTAATGAGGAGGATAGGAGTACGGAGTCATCTTTATGCTTCATATCTTTAGCGTTATTTTGCAGATGTAGGTCTGAAAGAAACCCTTTCGGGGCTCCGTGTTGTCTGTTTGAAGACCTGAATGAAATCTCTGCAATCGACCCTTTCACTGATCGTCCCATTATGACTTCCATCACACATCACAGTGTTAAATATTTACTAAGCTGTCTGGTCTGTAGCTTGAATTCCTCGAGTATATTTTTGCTTAGTTCTCAAAATACGCAGCCATGACTGGAATAGAAGCCAAATACTTTGTTGAGTTCTTTTGCTGGAGTTTTGTTCTGTGCAGTTCTGTTCTCGGGTTGTTGTTTGAATATCTGTTCCTCTCTGTGCTCTCATCAATGTTCTCTCTGTTCTTCTAGTTTGTGTCGGCTGTTTTAAACATGTCCATAAACCAAAGTTAAAAAGTACATTAAGAGCACAGGCAGCTGAGTATTTATCCAGAAACTCTGGAGTGACGAAGGTCTTTATGTGCCAAACACAATGATGCAATATTACCTGTTTTTAAACTGCACGTCCTTTTAATTGTGTTGGCTCGGCCAGTCTAAATTAAAAATATTGAATGCATGATTTGACAGTTTTCTGCTTGAACACCAAAGCATTGCTGTGTCATTTTAGAGGATTGTACATGGATTTTAGGGTATTAAAGCTTGTGTCTTAATGGGTTATAGTCGTGTAATACTGAATGTAAGTTGAGGTCAGTGGTTGGTTGTGGGTTTGTGTCAATGTTTTAACATGCTGGTTTTTGTTTTTGTATTAAAACTTGTTCCAAGTTGCGGGCGACTGTGGCTAAGTGGATAGCAGGGCCGTCTTTCAATCAGAGGGTCAGCGGTTCAATCCCCGGCTCCGGCTCTGCCAGTGGCATGTCGATGTGTCCTTGAGCAAGACACTTAACCCCAAAATTGCTCCCGTAAAACTGTGATAGAATCTGAATTGTAAGTTGCTTTGGATAAAAGCGTCTGCTAAATTACTGTAATATAAAAGTATTGTGCTTTAGCTTCTCCCCATTTCTATGTAGATTAATTAGTAATATTTGCTGAGGCAAAACCAAATGAACTTTGATTGTATCTGCAGTCGAGCTGCTGATTGGTGGAGCAGCGACACATTTAGATTTAATATCTTTGAGGTTGGAATTTAGCTTGAAGTCTTTTACATATTTTGGGAGACAGACAGTATAGAATTTGAAGCCATTTATAGCATACTCAGTGTGTCTATGTGGAGGTTTATTTAATAGCACTTTTATTATTGTTTGTATATTTAAATTGAAATAAAAAATAATGTTTTTATTAATTTTTAGAATGTTTGAATTTTATCAAATATGCTTGTTTTATGTACGAGTCTTGCACCTTTTAAATGAATATAACAATTACACAGAGGGCTGACAGTGACGCCAGCCCACCACTAGAGGGCGCTGTGAGCTTCCACACAACACTTTTAGACAACTGCAGCCAGTAAAGGGAAGTAAACATTGGAATGTTCCACCACGTGCAAGAAGAGATCGCTGACATATTCCACTTTTAAAGAGTCATCTCAAACAGCTGAAGACTAAACAGAACTGATCACTTTTAGATTGACGTGTTGCACAATGTTTAGTCTTCTTCTGCTTGTTTATTGCATATTTGTACCATATTTGGTCACTTGTAAAGTAGTGTGTAACCTGAACAAAACCAAAATGAATGAGTAGTGTAAATAGAAGTTTTTTTTAATGTAAAAATACATCATTGTGTTTCAGCTACAAATCCATGTTCACTGTGTTTAAGATGCGATCAGCATCAACGATTCACAAACCACTCCACCTACAACATGAACATTAGTCTATAATAAATATAAAATGATGTCGATAAAAATGTTTAAAAAAAAAGATCTCTCTTGTATCGGACTATTAAAGTTTTAGAAAAACACGTGTCTCTTGTAATACTTTAAAAAAAAACCTGAAATGTACAATAATCTCAACAATGTAACAGGAGGCGAGTATTCAGTTCCACGCTTCTGAGGAGCACCTCAGTTAAAAGTGCGATAACATTGTGTCAAGAAAATTAAATAAAAAAGGACGAATGGATCTCCTTTTTACGAATAACAAACCAGAAGTGTTTGTTAATTCTGCACACAGAGAACCAGCTACAGCCCAACAAACATTCTGTAATACTGAGGGAGCAAAACGTAAACTGTAATCTTGAAATTATCTCCCGAAAAAAAGGAAGCGGCGACATTTATTTAAAGCCACAATCCTCGATGGGAACCGACAGCCATCCTCTTTGGTTGTGTTTTAGGATGAGGATAATCACCAATCGTCTGTAACAAGCTTATTACAGTGTATGCGCAGAAAAGAGAAACTGTATTAAAAGACTGAAACAACAGACAATGACAGTGTCAGTGCATCTCACTGTGCTTAGAAGGCATCTAACGTTACATTCCTCGTAAACAGCAAAACAGAAAAGGCAATACAAATAAAATAAAGATTGTGCCTTTAAAATAACCAATATTTAATAGTCCCATGATTCGTGGGTACACGCCGATTCTTAAAGGGATAGTTCAGATGTTCTGCAGTGTGTGTGTGTATGAGGTTCTCCTCCACAGTCAGGGTTCTACTACAGTAGATGAGTTGATAGAAACAGACAGGAGAACCAGCACGGGAGCAAAGTGATGTTCTGCTGTGGACGTATGTTAGACTCCTAACAGAATGTCTCTCAGTTGAAGTGAAGCTATATTCAGAATGTCTTCAGCTCTTTACCTTGCTGTCAGACAGACCTTTCTGAGGGGAACTCAAGCTGTTATCTATGATCTCTACAAACACACCAGACTCCATTCACTCAAACACTGATTCTACCTCTCAGGACACAGGAGCTGCTGCCTCCATCTGTTACTGTGTTTGTGATATAGTGTGACTTTAGTGAATCCAAATTAAAACACCAAAATCACTTCCAACAGTCCGAACTACCCCTTTAAATAACCGATATTTCCAGCTGTTTACTCCTGTCTGCAGGAAACATGACATCATCCCAACGTTTACTTGTAAACGTTCAGTGATGTCAGTAACTCTTGTAACATAAATACTATTGGATCCATGTTTCCCTTCTTCTCGATGCTCACACGTACAGTATCAAAATACAAATATATATTTTAAAAAGAAAATCTAAAAACCTACCCACAATCCCTCTGGAGGAGAGTGATGGTGATGCTCCCCCCATCACACGCCTTTTGTTGCTAAAATACTGTATAAATACAAGTCGTACTAAAAATAGAGTTTTGTCGTTCAACAGCGTAAAAATAGAATCCAGTGTCTCTCATACGACCACCTTGCCCTTGATGTCCAGCTTGGTGTTCTCACTGGCTTTGATGGACTGCTCCTCTGTGAGGGTGATGTAGGAGTAAACCAGGCTGCCGGCAATGCTGCAACAACACAGACAGAAACCATGAGGGAGAAGACAAAAACATGTTGATGTCGGCATTTAATCAAACTTTCTGAACGGCTGGAGGACAAACTACCAATAAACTGTCTTTCAGCATCAGGTTTTTGGGTTAATGTGAGAGAGGGTACAACAATATGGGAGCCCATTTCAACCAGTAGAAGAAAAATACAAGATGTTACCTTTGCCCTGTTATGAATAAAAAGAAGAGCCTGTAAATCATAATGACATAACTTTCTCCAAATAATGAAAATATTGGTATCTCAAAATAATGACTAAGTATGTCAAAATAACTAGAAACGGTAAAAACAATAACTCTCTGTACCTCAAAATTACTTAGTATATCGATATAATGAGAAACTTTAAAAAAATAGGACTTACGGTCTAAAAACAATGAGAAACTTTCTCAAAATATCAGGTTAGTATCTCAAAATGACAGGAAACTTTTTCCTAAAACAACGACTTTGAGTTACATGATAATGGTTTTTGAAATTTGAGAAATCTTCTCATGATTTTGAGACACCAAGTCATTATTTCTCACCAAGTAGTTTCTCACTCTGATGACTTTTTCATCACATTAACAGAAAGCCCTTCATCTGATAGATGAAGGCAGAAGAAGACTTGAAAAATGAAGTCCTCATGTGTTCTTTCAGAGTGAAGGGGAACATGTTGCAGCACATCAAAGTCATCACATTTCTAAACAAGATCCATCATGCACAGAGGAACTCCTGGAGCTGATCGTATTAGAATCTGTGATATCCGTGTCAGCATTTCTCTTTGATCGAAGGAGACTCAAAGACTCGTCCTTTAGGAGTCCTCAGCTCAGAGAGAACCGGTCTGACTCAACAGTCATAGACTCTGTTACTCTCTCAGCGGTTTACAACCAGACATGAGCTCAATCACCACGCTAATACGCTACATGCACCACGAGCTGTGTGACAAAACCAACCAATCACTGTTGAGATATTTGAGCAGAGCTTTCCACAAGGATATGGAGTATTCTCCCAGCCAGAGAGAGAGAGAGAAAGTAGCCAGCCAGAGAGGGAGAGAGAGAGAA